TGTAGGTGTAGGTGAAGGCTGGAGGCGGACCGTACGAAGGGCTGAATACCCTAACTTTCCTGGTTTAACAAGAGTAAAAACGACAAATCGCTCAAATATCTGGACACTGAAATCAACTAAAATAAAACTTCAATTCAAACACAGACCTCTTTCCGTCCATTCATCATCCCTGAGCAATGATGTTGCATCCGAGAGAGTGGATGCTGATAGACAAATACTAGCATTTAAGTTCCGAGAACTTGATATTCTGAACATTTAGTGAGAGTTGTTTTCAAAATAAAAAAATGAGAAAAACATTCATAGCAGGCAAGTGGGCAAGCATCCGCTTTACTACAAGATGTAAAGTCAAAGGACAAGTTAGCAATTTCCTTCAGAACCTTAACCAGGCGTGATACTTTACACCTGAAAATCTTAGCATTCAAACAATTGTTGGTCACTTCAGTATTCCAAAACGAATACGGGCCTTGTTCGATTAAGCCACACAGCATTCAGCGTCAAGTTTTAATCAAAACAATAACAAAAACAAATGGCGCAAAATTCCATCTTATAATAAAACAATAACTACCAATTAATGTTCGTTTGGTAGACTCTGTAACTGAATTGAAACAATCTTAAATTTTGCTCCAGGCGAAAAAAATGGCTTTTCAACACTTACGGATTTGGATGTGGTACAGCCCTCTTCACCTCATCTATAAAACGAGAAACAGAGACATATTCCAGTAACAATTTCAATTCAAGTAGATTACCTGATTAATCATTTACTTGTTTGGGGAGGGGTGTTTTTATCTTTTGGGAGTTGTGTTTGCACTTAGCTTACTGTACCACTTACATTTAATAGGTGCATAATTTTACAACTTGCGATATCTCATTTGAATAATGCATAATTATTCCACTGAAAATCAAATCAGTTAGCGTGAAATATTTCAAGTATGGTCAGTACAGATTGCGAACTGGCATTTTGTCCCTTGCGTTTGACTTACCATGAGGCTTACCGCTGAAGCGTTTCCAGGTGATGTATTTATGTATTGATGTTGCTAACATTAATAACAGGAGAAAGACGAAATATAACACGGACGCCGCTAGGATCACCTTTTGACTTGCTGTCGGCTCAACTGCTACCAGGTCAACTGTCGGTATTTGGAAAGGAATTGAGAGAATGAGTCGAATAATACTGACTGCCGTATCAGTCTTTTCTTGGTTCTTGGTTCTTGGTTGGTTCTTCTCCTAAGTACTCCCCGTGTATGGGAATGTATACAGGAGGCCAGAAACACCGGGGCAAACACCTTCTCAAAGCGATAAGTATCACTGGGTTCTTTTACGTGCGTTGTATCACACAACACACGGGATTTACGGCTTTACGTCCCATCCAAAGGATGAAGCAATTTAGGGCACAAGTCCACCCGGCGGGCTCGAACCCACGCCACTGTTGTTCTGAAACACCAGAGCATAAGTCCGGTGCTCTTAGCCGCTAGGCCATGACACTCAACAAAAGACTCGACACCCCCAGTCTTTGATTGGGGGATCCAAAAGTGTAACCGATTCAACCGATCTGCGTTATTGCCATAAAAGTGTCATGGCAATTTACTTCAAAGTATTCGTTCATTTTGTTTGTTAGCTTTACTTTGCTGGCATCATCGTTTAAAGGAAACGTGCAGTCCAAAATTTTCATAACGTATTTTATTTTATATATACATTCATTTATGTGTATTAAATGTGAATTAAAAGCAGAAGTGGTTCTGGTGTACGTTTAGTGTGATAATTTGCCGTCCAAAATTGAACCCCCCCCCCCCCTTTTTGATTTTTGCGGCAACTCCAAATGAGGGCGCTGTTCATGACGTAAACAAAGGCAGAGAAATCCAGGGCCCGTAAATGACCTCTGGGTACGAGACGGATTAGCGAAGCTACTGTGCTGTGTGTGTATGTGCAGCCGCCGCGTACCCGTACGTAGCATTATATGCACACGTACGAATGTGTCTACATGTACAGTACATGCGCACGTGGACGTGCCACGGTGCCACCGTTGTCGAATGAACACAACGACTACCGTCATGACCGTGAAAGTTCCGAAGACTCTTCCTCTTCTTTCCTTAGCGAATCCGATGACAACGGTACAGATTCGTCCGATTCGAATCAGAGTTCTAAAGATTCAGACACTGACTCGATGGTTTTTTAGGGGCATGCCCAAGTTGCTGTACAGACCAGCATCAAAGCACGACGGCTCAAAGTGCAGCGCAGATGGCTGTGAACTCACTGGGCCCGGACCACTTTGCTCTGGTATTTACCTTCACTTTGGCTCTCCAAATGCTCCGATATTTCGGATTTACTGGAAACAAATGAAGGCTAACTCCATCCTTGGTAGTTTTGCTACACCCAGCAGCCACACACCTTGTCGGCATGGCCGAAAATTGGGTGTTATTTCTCCTCGATTCCGAACGAAACACCAGAAAAACTTTCAGTGCCGCAATGTATATCTATGCACGCCGCAATGCCGGTGCCCCCCGCAGCGCGGCACGTCTCTGCCTTGATCGCGTCATACCCCTCGCGAAGTTTTATGTTAATGAAGCTTCCCTTTGTGGGGCGGAGTAGTTTGACCAAACATGTTCACAAATTATTTTCCCCCATTTATCCCAGAAAATAAACACCGCCATACACAAAATATTGTTAAGAACATCATCCTTTATTGATTTAAGCAAAAAAAATGCAATCAAAATTTTATTTCATGTTCCCTTTAATGATAGACGGTATCAAGAAATGTGTCCTGAATCTACAACGCGTTAACCCTTTTTGGATCAATACAAAACAACCTTATGCCTAGCGACTATCTAAGAGGGCATCCTTTACTTCAGTAAGTAATTTTAAATGAAGTATTTACCTTTTAGGTTTTTTTTTTATTTTAATTAAGTGACAATGAATGCATGAGCAGTTCATTCATGCACATCCCAGTACAGCAAAGGCATTGCCCTCTAATAGCTGCAACGCATAGTGGAAGAAGACTTTTTGTAAGATATCGATAAGACCACATCCGCCTTATTCCCTTTCCCATTTCAAAATGTAGTCCGTGTTTCCGTGTGGTGTGTATTGAACAAATCCCATTGTCCTTTTGTTTGTTGTATACAAAACATAAGGGAGGAGGGAGGGAGGGAGGGGGCAGGTTCCTGTTTTCCAAATGGGGGCGCTCTTTAAAACTGACCATTATTGTGCATACTGGAAACTATATGCAGATTTTCACGGCGCATTGTAATGTTTTTTTAGCTGGCTGTATTTTGTTGGTTGATGCCAGGACTCTCTATTCAATAATCACAAAAATCCGCCGGGGGCCAAGGTGCCCCCTCTGCCCCCCCCCCCCCCCTTGATACGCTAGATGGTCGTTGCTGACCAGAAGGTTGGTCACTGCTGGCTGGCCACAACTGACTGACAGGCTTGTCACTTCTTGTTTGTTGGTTGGTCACTGCTGGCTGGCTGGCTTGTCACTACTGGCTGCCTGGATTGTCACTGCTGGCTAGCTGGCTAGCGCACTGGCCTTGTTCATATTGGCTGGCATGCTGGCTGGTTCATCGCTGGCTGGTTGGCTGGCTGACTGGTTGGCCACTATGGCTTTCTGTGTAGTCAGTGCTTGTTGGCTGGTTGGTCACTAGCTGGCTTACTCCCCGCCTCCCCTGTCATAACTGCCTGGCTGGGTGGTCACTGAAGGCTGGCTGGTTGGTCACTGAGTGACTGCTGGCTGGCTGGGCAGTCACTGCTGAATGGCTGGGCGGTCACTGCTGAATGGCTGGGCAGTCACTGCCGAAAGGCTGGTTGGCCACTGCTGGCTTTCTGGTTGGTCACTATTGGCTGACGGGCTGGTTGAATGCTGTTTGCGGGCTTGTTTGGTCACATCACTGCTTCGTGGCTGAATGGTCACTGCTGGATACTGGTGTGTGTTTACTGGCTGTCTGGGCAATATCACTGTCAGCTGGTTGGGTTGGTCACTACTGGCTGCAAGGATAGTCAATGATGGCTGGATGGGTAGTCATTGGCTGGCTGACTGGCTGACTCCCCGGTTGATCGGTGGCAAGCTGGTTAGTTGGTTGGTCACCGCTGGACTGGCAAGCTAATCGCTGGCTGGCTCTTTGGCTGGTTGATCACTACTGGTTATCTGCTTGATCACTGCCGGACCAGTTGGGCTTAATATTCAGTCTCTATGTACTTTTAAAAATCGCACATTTTTTTTCAGTAACTTTTAAGGCCAACTATTTCCTGTTCATTGTGAGAATTATGTCCATCAGATTGCACAAGGAGGGGGTGGTTGTTGTCAGGGGGACGTTAGCAGAAATATGCTTTAGTAGATCTATGATATAGATATGCTCCCGTAGATCCGCCATTTCAAACCGATATCTGATGATGACATCATAAATAATTATAAGACATCATAAATAATTATGTGGATCATTGGATAGGGTTAATTTCCGTTAATATCCCACCCCCCCCCCACACTTTTTCTTGATAAGAAATCCAAAATGAGAGGTATTTTTATAATGTCCCAAAAATAAAAATGCATTCAGAAGCGCTAAAAAATGAAGAAAAAAATACAAAAGCTTAAAATTCACCTTTTTGATGTAAACGCGAGTATACATGAAGATGTACATCTGTATCATGAACAGCGCCCAGTAGTGTAATGTCGCGTCCAGCTTCCTCCTCCCCCCCCCCCCCCTTCGAATTTCCACGGCCGGGCATTTTTTTTATTTTGGTCATCCCCCATCCCTTCCACCACCCCCTTCCCCTCCCACTTTCACAGATATATACGCCAGTGCGAATCCCCACTTCGTGTCGGTAGTGCAAAAGTTAGTGGAGAGACAGGTGGCGAGTCTATCAGGTAGGGCTTAAACACAACAATTGCCTGTGGCGCATTTGTTTGTGTCTTTTGTCACCCCTTTTGTGACTGGTTTTGGAATGACTCAGCCCTATTTTCATCAGAAATATTGACGTAAAAACCATGACATTGGTGTACATGTAACGTTTATTTAATGCGCACGAAGAAACAGTTTACAAATTTTCTTGGTCGTACACCGTTGGTTTACTGAACTAGAACGGAAAGTAAATCTACTTGAGGCCAAGTTCTGGAAATATTGTCATAGCGTGTGTTTGTGTGTGTCCAAGACCACATTAAAGTATCATTTATTATGATAACATTCGTGAAGCAAGTTCTGTTGGCGCTGGCACTGGTGCAGCATTTTATCACACAAGGTAAGTCAACTTTAAGTATGAAGACGACAGACACAGCTAACAAAGTTACAGACACATTAACGTGTAGTGAAATCTTGGTCATTCAAATCTCAAGGAGATAGGTGAACAAAAAAGACAAATCTCTGTTCAGGGGTAGGAATGGAACGGTGATTGGGTGCACTTTGGGCAGTGAAATGAAATGTACAGATCCGTATTTCATCGAGTCCAACTTTCACCCTCAGCGGTTTGAAGGTTTTAGGAATATCACGGTGCATCAATATTGCACCAGCGGTTCGCACACATCAGACAATTACCAAGCCCAGACCCATGGGGTTCTGATCAATCACAGTAGTAATTAATGTCCGAAATGTGTGCACTTAATTTCATCAGGAGCGGATCACTAACCTTACACATTCAGTAATAGGCTATCGTGGAAATGTGGAATACTGTGATAGCTTATCACGGAAACGTGGACTATCGTTAAAGCCTATCACAGAAACATAGAATTCGGCGATAGGCTATCGTGAAAGCAAGTATTTCCGTGATAAGATGTCGTTGAATCGTGGAATTTGTGATAGGCTAACGATATCATGGCATTTCGCTTTGCCACGATAAAACATCACGGAATTCCATGTTGCTGAGATACCCTATCGCGGTATTCCACGTTTTCGTGATAGGCTATCACAGTATTCCGTGTTTCCACGATAGTGTATCGTGGTTTTAAACATATTTTATGATGGAATTCCATGTTTCCCAGATATTTCATCCCAGTAACGCAGTAACACGGATGGTCATCATACGCTTCCATCAAATATATGGCGGGTTTTTTTTTATTTAACCTCGATGTTGATGTTACTAAAACATAAGTTGGGCCAAGGGGCTGAATATTCAGTCTCTATGTAATTTAAAATTCGCATATTAGGCCATCAGCCTCAGTCCAAAATGTTGGCCACCGGTATCGAATGAGGGGAATAATCGTCATAGCGATTTTTGGCAAGGTGTACACCTCCAGTGTTGGAAAAAAATGTGAAAGCATTGCAACAGTGGCAGCTTTTTGGGTATTATCACTTTTTGTTTCAAAATGTCAATCGAAATGCTTGTTACAAGTCTAGGGGCAGTAACCTTGCGCATGCGTACTATTATAGTTTACGACATGATTTGATACTGACCAACCCCTAAGGCTGATGGACTATAATTGTTTTCAATTACTTTAGTAAAAGTCAGACTATTTTTTGTTCATTGTGAAATGCATGTTTATCCGTCAAATTGCACAAAATCACGAGTTCATGAGTTGTATATAATGAGTTTCGTCACTTTTTTTCCTTAAAATAACCTTAACGTCAACACTGCGGTGATGTCATTCCTAGGCTTCATGGTAATAAATGTATGAACACCGTCAAGAACCGGGTCAATGCTACAAGACATGGACAGAGATTCATGGCAATGCACTGTACGCAGAGAAGACAATTTAGGGAAAACTTACAAAAATTCCCAAAAATGTATATCTACTGACATGCACACGGTAGTAAGTTGACAAACAAATCATGAATCGCCACTTCCAGTCACTAGAGCTGAAAGGTGATGAAACGACAGGCAACGAGTCTACCAGGAACTTGAACACGAAAAATCGGACTGTTTTGGAAACATGACAGGAATGTTGGCTTTTGTTGCATACTGTGCACAATGCACAATTCACAATGCACTGTTTACGGACTGAGTCACTGCTACCATTCTAACTATTGACATCAAATCATAATACGTACGTTGCCCCTCTTTGACTCCCGGAAAATTGCAAAACCCATTTCAGTTTACATTTTCAGTTTCACAGTACGTATATAGTACTAAGTTTTGAACCGACTGGGTTCTGTTCTACCATTACTACAGAACTGTTGATATGAAAAACACAACGTTGGTATTAATCGTATTCAAGGTGCGTCGAGAATAGTTCATCAGTTCATGTATTTGTTGCCCGTACACTGTACGAACTAGACTGGAAAGTAGAATCCATTTGAGGCTAAGTTCTGACAATAGTCTCATGGCGTGGATGTGCTCGTCACCGCATTTGTAATTTGTGTACAAACTATAAAAGATGGCCTTTATGAAGCAACTGGTGCTGGTGCTGGCACTGGTGCAACATTACATCACACAAGGTAAGTCAAGTTTGGAAATAAAGACGACAGACAAAGAAAATTATGGATTCTAGGAATTCCATGGTGCGATCTGGGGCGATTTTTGATCAGTTTAACCAATTTTGTTTCAGCAAAATATCATCATTTAAACATAATTTTTGAGTTTGGAGTCATTGACTCAGCTAGAATCAAAATTACATATTTTATTCTACATATTTTATTCAGAACGAAAAAAGGAAAGGAGGAACATGTCCAACCCCTCCGTCCCCAACCGACCAACGCCCGTGGCTAAGATCGTCTTAAGAATGAGAGTAACTGGTCTTAACTCGCTACACGTCCTAAGATCGATTTCACCAAACTCATGATGCGTTCAACGCTTCCTATAAATCCTTTAGCAATGCTGAACACGCCTCAACATGAGATAGGTCTCATAGGTTCGTCTTAAATCATGAATACCTGTGCAATTTCGTAAATCGTCTGGAAATCATTGCATTGTATTCTCGCCAAAGTCGAGTGATGACCGAGAGCCATAATTGCAGACAAATCAACCACTATAGAGACATATTTGAAAAGATTTCTGACACGTATTTTTTTTTTAATTATTATATTTTATATCTATGATCTTTTTTGGGGTAAAATGTCGTGTTCTATGCTCGAACGCGGCAAATTGGTTTGGCGAGTTTTTTGGTTTTTTTTTTTTATTATTACCGGCCCAGGAATAGAAAGGTGATTAAGCTCACTGTGAATTGTGAAATGTACTACATGTATTAAGGTCCGTGTTTCATACAATCCTACTTCGACACTTAAGCAGCATACCGCTATTATGAATCTCATATGCCCTTATCGGCTGTGTACAGTGGAGAGACCGGTCGGTGTTCCATAAGGCCAAAAAAAAAAAGTCTCCGGTTTCTGGTATGGAGCTTGCCCCAAAAGTGGTGCGGCGACGCGGTTTTTTTTTTTTTTTACCTTTTTTTTTTTTTTTTTTGGCTTCAAATGTCGGCTGATGACTGCAAATGGTGCCCGACTTAACTTAGTGCAAATATATGGGAGTCCAGAGAGACCACATAAATCTTATTCTCGATCATAACCCCTTTTAAAAACACGTTAAAATTGTGCAGCAGCAGAATTCCAGTCAAACCAGTGAGTTTGGCGGTTTTGAAACATCATCTTGTATTGAAAAAAAAAAAATCATTTTGCCGACGCGCATGGCTACGGCGACGCGCGCGCATACCAGAAACCGGAGCCTTTTTATTTTGGCCTAAAGGACAGTGGACAGTCTTATATCTGTTTTCAAACGCTGTGATTAAAGCAATAGTCCATCATTTGCAGCTATCTGAAAAGTAACTGGCGTAATTATTATTGAAGAACATACTTAGTTGAAAGATGTTAAGGGGAATATACTCCCTGTGAAATTATTCATTCTGGCAAGCTGTCATTTTGAAGTAATCAACGAAAGAAGGCCTTTCCAACGGTGCGTCTTAAGACGCACCGGTGCAGCGTGCGCAAGCATTGGTACGACGCACAGGTGGGCGCAGTTGCTATTATTCGTCGGATCAGTGCGCGACATTGCGTATAGCTACAGTTCAAAACGAATTCAAAATATGATTCAGCAACTTTTGATTTGAAATTGAGATCCTAGAATGCTGTTTTTTCGGAATATACAACTGAAGCTGATCTGAAACTTCATCAGGTTAGTTGTTCAGTGTACTTCATTAGATTTTGAACACTTTTGTTGCTTCAAACGAACAAATGCACAAATTACAAATGATGGACCATATCTTTCAATTTTTGTCCGCTACGGTTCAAAGTATTTCAAACGTCGTCGTTCACTGTTGAATGCCACATTTTCTTTAGCCGACAGATCGACGTTCTGAAATGCAATCACGGCAGAAACTTGTCTTTTGTTATTATGATTTGTGAACACGAAAACAAAATGCTCCCTAAATCTTGATACAGACTGAATAACACTTCGATGAAATGTTTCATTCACAGCTGGCGCATTACCATACGAGGCCCGACTGACTTTGACGATTGTTTTGGGTTTGGGATCTCCCGTTACTTTCTTCCTAATTGTCGTTGTGGCCATCATATGCTTGAAAAAGTGCTACACCTGTGTACGTGCGCATTGCAAAGCCAGACCTACTCCAGGTGAGGCCAGAGACTAAAAGAAATTCTTGTTTAGGATAGATCAGTAGTGCCTTGGGTCTGTATGGTCGATATGACGTCATCATTTTGGCCTCTTGGCCAATCAGAATGCTCCATTTAGCCTTATTAGCATAAATCATGAGGCAAGTTTGAAGAGCCCAGTCGATTAGTGTCGGAGGAGTGTTCACTTGCATAGGCGATTTAAAAAAAAAAACAGCGATAACAATAGGCAATATTTTTTGTAATCTATAATGAAAATAATACGACCGATTATGATTGTCTTATTGAAGAATTAATCTTTTAGTAAAATTTTAGCAAAATATTACCTATATTGTCTATTGTTATCGCTTTTTTTTTAAATCGCCAATGCAAGTGAACACCTCTCCGAAACAAATCGAACATTCAAGCTTGCCTCACGATTTATGCTAATAAGGCTAAATGGAGTGTTCTGACGTCACATCGACCATGCAGACCCAAGGCACTACTTAGATCTGCCTCAAAATATTGCCTACAAGAGAATTTACTAATACCTTGATGGTGTTTTTTTTTAAGGTTCAATACCAGGTACAGTCATGTTTCAGAGATTATATCTTAACTCCTGATTCAAACGATATGAGTAGAGACTACTTATTCGGCCCTCATTTTGTAGTCGACCCTTGTATTCTCTTAATTATGTCGTATTCCCATGTCCGAATCTAAATTGGGTTGGTAAGTCAATCAGATTCTCTGCGTCGATTAGGTGACGAATATAAACGTGATAGCCAATAAGAGAGCGCCTTTTCGGGGCAGCGCAGACCGCTGCTATTTTTATTTTGTATATGTAGTCAGTCCTGGGTCACCATTTGTAAATAGTGATCTGATTGGTCAGAAATCATATTAGTCCATATTTGGAAATTCCCCAAGATTCACTGGAGTGCTTTCTTCTTGTTTCCATTTGTACAGGGGAGCCTATCACAAACCTGCCTCTGCCAAATTCGTAAGTACCTAGCCCTGAATGCGATTTTTTTTTAATTCCAAATGCATCAGCAACAACTGTAATTAGAAATTAAAAAATTACATTTGCAGTTTTAAAGTGTTGGTCTTCTTCGGCACATTAAATTACTTTAAGGCTGACTGGTTGGTCGATGGCTGGCTGGATAAACGGTTAATTGTCCACGCTATTTACTGCTGGTTGGATGGATTGTCACTGCTGGTTGCAGACCAGTAAATCGGTCTGAAATTCCCTACGCCGGCCAAATCACGATTTGCATGACCTCAAAATATTCAGTATTTGAGCATACTGTGGGCCATGAACTTAAGGGTTTGTAAAAATAAAATATGGGTGGAAGCCGTGCAAAGGACTGTGAGCTTGTAGTACCGTTCAATTTGGATGAAATTGGGGCCCTTAAAGCGCCCTATTTTGCAATGGGGTGATCATCTTCGGATGGATCATCTTCGGATGGAAAATTTCCCTTAAATGTCATCAGTTAATTCCCCCCCCCCCCCCCCCAAAATTGAAAAGAATATGAAAGATGATGCAATAAGCTTTAATTTGATGTGTGTCTCGAACACCTTGGAGAGTTGTGAGTATTTTTCCCGAATTTCTGAAGTGTGAGCATTTACCATTGGGGTCTATGGAAGTTTATTTACTGGTCTGGAACCTGCTGGCTTGCAAGCTGGTGACTGCTGGCGCGCTTGAGGGTCACTGCTGCCTGTCTGGGTGGTCACTGTTGTCTGGCCGGGTGATCACTTCTGGCTAGCACGCTGGCCATTGGTCATTTCTGGCTGATTGGATTGCGTGTCCTTTAGCCTGAAGGCTTGTCACTGCTGCGCTATATGGTCACTGCTGGCCAGCAGTTTCAAGTTGGTCACTGCTGCTGGCTGCCTGGATTGTCACTGCTGGCTGGCACGCTGCAGTCATGTGCTGGCTTGCTGGTTGGTCATTGGCCGGCATGCTGGCTGGTTGATCACTGGCTATTTGGGTGGCTGGTTGGTCACTATGGCTGCAGGCTCTGTGGTCACAGCTGCTACCTTGCTGGGTGGTCACTGATGGGTGGCTGGTTGGTTACTGCTGGCTGGTTTGGTGGTCATTGCTGAACGGGTTGCTTGGTCACTGCTGAATGGCTGCATGGTCACTGCTGGGTGTCTGGTTGGTCACTACTGGATGGCTGGTTGGTCGCTGAATTTTACTGGCTGGCTGGTAACGTCACTGCTTGCTGGCTGGATGGCCACTGCTGGCTAGCTGGGTGGGTGGTTACTGGCTGTCTGGGTAATCATTGTCTAGCTAGCTGGTTAGGTGGACGTGGTCACTACTGGCTGCCAGGGTGGCCACTGCCAACAGGCCTGCTGGTCACGGGCTGGACAGATGGTTAACTGACAGGCTTGCCACTTGCTGGCTGACAAGCCACCTGACCTGGGTGGCTGGTAACTTCTTCAATATGGTGGCGGGCTACCTCATTCAGCAAGTAGGCGGGCTGCCTTTAGTCTTTGGAATGAAGGGATAATTGTTCGGACGCCATTATCTGTTATGTGAACCTTTTTTTTCATTTTCCCCATAAACAGGTTGGATTTGTTTACAGAGGCGCCTCCAAGCTACGAGAACGCACTTGGTAAGACATCTGTAAACTATATTTCCTTCACCGTTATTCCTCTGTTAAACGTTCCTCGGTTTCTGTTGTATTGCCGTTTGTAAGTCTCTCAGAGTGTTGACTTTACTTAGCATTACATTTATTTTCTTTTAAATATGCAGCTTTCATGTAGTGCCAGGAATTTAAAAAGGACCTTCCGTTTGTATATGGGAATAAAGCCCGGACTAAGATGAGAAGAAACAAAAACACGAATGACGTCAGATCCATGGACACATTTTCCTTAAAAAACTACTTAAGACTCCTCCTACCATAATCACTTATTTTGGTTCCATGACATTTGTCTTTTTGGTTGTTGTTGTTGGTGGTGGTGGTGGTGCGTTGTGTTTTTTTTTCCGATTGGGGTTACAATAAATAAAATTCCTTAACAGTTGATTATGACTTATTGAGACTCGTGATGTTTAGCTTTAATGGCCATTTCGAATACAAAAACAAACGGCTCACTCTCTTCAATTGAAGCTGTATTGTCCGCGTGAACCAACTGGTGTCTGCTCAATTCGTAACGGTCCTGCATAAGGAAATCAGTTGTACATGCAAACTTGCATTCAACCGAAGAATCTGATATTTGTTTTTTCCATTTTATAATTATAGAAATGGTCGTCAGAGTTGTTGCCGAGGATGTTGGTCCCCCACCATATGAATCCTTATTTAAGGACATGCCCCCACAGAAGTCTCCAGAACACGTCACGCTACCTTGTTGACGCTAGAACCAATTGGGATTAAACTGGTCTTTGAACTTGTATTAATAATACCGGAGTCTTACATAGCGCACGTATCTACCAACAATTAGGCACTCAAGGCGCTGGTAATTATGTATATTATTAGAGACAGGTAAATGAAGTTTGTGAGAAAATGTGATACCCGTTTATGAAGCACTTTTATACAAGGTGCTGCGGCACATATTGCATTCACTGCCAGAAACACCGGGGCAAACCCCTTCTCTTAGCGATACTTTTTTTTTTTTTTTTTTTTTTTTTTACATTGGCATGATATATTGCCAGTTTTGATTAGGTTTGTATATATCTCTTTTGCTTTGTGTGTTTCCCTCACCCCAACTATACCAAATCCATACCATCCCAGCACCTGGGTTTTGTACAGCAGTGTATTTTGATGATTTCAGAATTTCAGGACACGTGGATTTCCGTATTGTATATGATGCAGTGAGTGCTATTATATAGTTTTAGTGCTGTTGGATTTTTGAGAGTTAATGAATAAATTTCCTCTGGCGTATACACAAAAATGTAATTGGACTTTTGAGCTAAATCTTTGAGCTTGAACATGTTGAATAAACAGCTTTTAGTTCTCCTCCCCCCCCCAAAAAAAATGTATGGACTTTTACTATTTAATATAGCGCGGAAGGCGTAAATCCTGGGGAAAAGGGAGGATACCCCTTCTCCACCCCCACACATACATCTTCGTAAACACCGGCAATCGTGGAGCCCCTTATTATCCCTAATCCTTATTCCTTTGTTTGTACTTCAACTTTTCAGCAACAGCTTTCATTGGTTTTGTACACGAATTTCAATCGTGGACGTTCGGTCAATCGTGGACGTGTTTGTGTCCTAACCCTTTTGCCTTAGGTCCACCGTATTGCCGGTGTTTACATGCTCACCCACACGCACGCACGCACGTTGCCTGCAATCGTTTCCCCATATTGTCATTCTTTTGTTTGTAGGCCTACATGTACTTCAACTTGTTAGGAAGACCTCCCATATGGTTTGCACACGATCGCCAAGGGACCTTCAGGAATTGGGGACCCTATTGTCCTCTATTGTTCAACGTCCCCTATTGAATGCAGAAACAAACTCAGCTTTGTTTATGGGGTGAATCGAGGATTTTCTATTGTTCCTCATCATCGATCTTTTGTTATACTCTTAAACCTTTTCGCAACAGCTCCCATTGGTTTTGTACACGTTTTCTAATCGAGGTCGTCCTCGATTTGACTCCTGTCCTCAAATAGGCCATAGAGCTAGGTCCTAGCTCTATGATTAGGCCTATACTACTCGATGATGCTTTACATGACTGTGTGTCCTCGATTTACGCCATAAACAAACCCATGCACACACACTTTTTTAACAGGGGAATGCCCCCCCCCCCCTCCCAGATTGTTGTGGTGAGAAACCCAAAACGCCGAATTTGAGGTTTTTCTTTTAACTGTCCAGTGGTGCAAATGTATTAAATAGGTATGAAAAATGGAGAACATAAAACTTTAAATGCACCGTTTTGATGTACGTAAACACATTACTTTGTTAAAGATGCCGCATTTGTATCTTTGAACAACGACCCCTAGTGTCATGTGATTTCCACACCCCCCCCCCCCCTTTTTTAATCTCTATAACATACAAAAGTTTAACGATTTTATTGGTTGTTTTGATAGCACTGCAAGCAGATAAAGTTTCACAATGATTGACGTATTTGAGAGATATTGCCTTATTAGGTTTCGATTTTGGTGTCAATTAAAAAAAAAAGTGTTTTCATAAATTGGAATTGTTATTTGAGAACTGTTTTCTTATAGGTTTCTGATTTTGGTTTCAATTTAAAAACAATGTTTTCACAATTGGCATTGTTATTTCAGAATAATGTTTTCTTATAGATTTTTTATTATTGTTTCATTTAAAATAAGTGTTTTCACAATTGGAATTGTTATTTCAGAATAGTTTTCTTAGGGTTTGATTTTTGTTTCATTCATAAAATGTTTTTTGGTTTTTGGTTTTTTTGAATTTTTTTTTTTTTTTTTTTTTTATTTATTTCCATTAATTACAATATTGCAAATAATTATTACAATGTTAGTTATTACAATGTTTAGAAAGTATACATATAAAAATCATAAATGATATACACAACATTGGTTTTGATGTACTTCATTTATATAATGTATGTTAGAACCATAGGTTATAATATATCTGGTGTTATCACTTTGAATATAACTATATAAGTGTGAACAGCAGTAGGCATATTAATTAAGGAAATATACAGATAAGTTATAAAATGTTGCCAGAAGTCTTTGTTTTTCTTTTGAAACTTTGCTCTGAATAAAAGCTCTGTAATAAACACATTAAAAATATTTATCCTTTTATTTTCTATACTCATTTTGATTCTTGCTTTATGTATTGAAAACATTGCTTTCGTAATTATTAAATTAACCTCCGGTCTTCTATCAAGACCTGTTAATCGGTTTGACAATGTTGGTGTGATAAAACTACTTTTTTTTTCTTGGTAGTAAACCTTTAATTTATTCCAAAATTCAATTGTTTGGAAACAGGTTAAGAATGCGTGTTTATAGTCGCCAGTCATGTCACACATTGAGCACAACGGGCTATTCTTAATTTTCCATTTATACAATAAATCTTTCGT